CTTGTGAAAAAAATTGTTATACAAATTTTATGTACCCCCTTTAAGGGGCTGTATCTTAACAAGGGATGCTCCAATGAAGTTTCTTTATATGAAAGATCCTATCTTTTTTTCGATGAGGAATCACCTCATTAAATGTTTTACACTTATTCAGTTACACCCTGTATATTGCTACAAATCTCATTATTATAAATACTGATCAGGGCTTTCTGAAAAATCATACATCAACAGAAAATTTGTGCTTTCTCTAGATGTGCTATATGTCTAGATTAAATTCTGCATAATAGTCGACCACTATTAACTTTGTGCCTTCAATGGACTCATTCAATTAACAACTGAGCCAGAGCAATTGAAAATGTGTGATCGCCCGCAGTATATCAGTATATACACGTCACACCAGGCAACGAGCTTCAAGCGGTGGCAACCGGGCCTGTAGTTGGAGATTATGAATCGTCAATTCAATTTAATTTTCTTCAAAGTAATGTATATATCAATTCTGGGTAACTGGCATTTTTGATACAAAAGTTCTATGATAAATAAAGAGTCCTTTGGGATTCCAAGATATTATTTTGGATTTTTCTCTGTGACGTGAATAAATCTTCACTCAATATTGTTTTTCGAATTCCAATTTTGAACAAATATTCCAGACAAAGTAGAATCTGATGTATCAACTGAAGTCATGTCTGATGTACTCGAACTCTCACTGTCCTCGGGGGAACTATGTCGTAATTTTTTTTCAATAATTTCTGTATTTTCTACTTCTTCAAAACGATTTCTTTTTCGGTGGTATATAATATTTACGGTCTTTGTAGTTTTTGCTCTTCGAAAAACCTGTTTATTAACTTGAATTCCAACATCAAAGGTCTTTTCCTATGTACCTGCTTCATCAGACATGCTTTGATTTTTAGCGATATCTTCCTTACAATTATTCAACAAAATTTGTTTTTCCTTTTTTTGAACAAACGGTGGAGCTTTAGATGTATGGGCCGTCGGTCTATTAATCTGGCAATCAAATATATGCGGAATTACGCCTGGTTTCAATATAATTTTTCCCACTTTCATAGTTTTGATATACATGTAATTATCTAATTCTTTTTCAATCTAAAATTCAAAGTAGTGCTCAGAGTAAACTATATTTTTTTTATTAATCATCATCATTCATACTTAAATTAAAGTGATCATCGCAACAAAAATGCGTCCCCTTGGCAGATACAAAGTCGGCCCTCCGCATAGCGCGCTGCCATAACTTTCGTGATTTTATGTTACTTGGCAGTTGAATAAAAATTTTGTCTGGTGCAGTTACCGAAAAATTCTTGCATTGCATGAAATACTTCTAACGTCCTTTTTTATCATTATTAATATTCACGCAGTTGACACACTGCAGTAAACAACACACAACTTGATTTCTACTGCTTTAGCACACGTATTTCGCTTATCCGCCAGCACTCCCTTGTCGCCGAGTCGACTGATGTGACGTCAAGCTGACCACGCCCCGTTTCGGTGATTGCCACATTCAACTACTGATTTGAGGGGGAAGATAATGAGTGAAAATTCAGATTTTTTGGGCAGATGTACTATTTGAAACATAAACTTTCAAATAATAAAATAAAAAAAAAGTGTTATATGAGCCCATTGTATATGTATGGATGGTTAAACCATGGATTGAAGTTGATGAGATATAAGTATTGGAAATAAACATCTGGATATCCATTTTTTCACATACTTTGACTGTCAATCAGTTATGAATTCCTATGCACTTTCACTTTCCTACACTGGTAGCTTTACCAAGAAATTGTAATTTCTCCTCAAAATGTTGCTTTTGTTAAGATTGTTTATTAGTTTATATATGGATTTAAAGAGAAAAGCAATACAAATAATACAGAATTCTACATTGGGGGGTAGTCATTAATTAGAAATTCCTTAGGTCTTATATGAATTAACTAAATAAAATTTGTTTTTAATCTAGAAAGTCTAATACGTATGTCTTCAAATGAAACTATCAGTCCTAGAATGCAGGAATTCAGAAAAAAACTGAGAGAGAAAACACCAATTGAAAAGTTGGATGAACAGCCTCTAGCAAAACACCCGTATGAGGAGAAAGAGCCATTACCCACTTGGCCAAATGATACCAATCCAAATACCGGAGAAGTAGGTGGTCCCAAAGGGCCAGAACCAACGAGGTATGGTGATTGGGAGAGGAAAGGAAGAGTGTCTGATTTCTGAGAAATAGTTTCACTCTTTTTTTTTATAATGAAAAATGAAATTATTAGAGATGTATACTGAATTCTTTTGATATCCCTTTTTTAAGTAGTAAACGAAATCGTTAAAAAATTGTGTCTTTTTCCATTTGAAATTCTCATCTTCTCAACATCATGCATTTCTTCCTGTAAATCAAAACAATCAACCCTCAGGTCAGCAATTTTGTCCTCATACCTCCACTAGGATATTTGTCTGTACCTATTAATTTATAATTGTGTTCTAAGAATATTCTTCAGATTGAGCATGTTCATCCCTTCATTATGTTTGCATGTCTTCATCTTGTATATTTGTAAGTGATTATACTTTACTTCTTCAAATAAATGGTTGAAGTTTCACATATTTTGAATATTTATGGATTATCTGAATTTTATATTCCATCTATATTCTATCATTTTGTGTATAGATCAGTCAAATTGGAACAAGATAAATAATTTAAAATCAAAGAAAAATAGTTTTGAGGACTCTTTCTGATTATGCATTTTTCATGATGTTTGTATATTTAAAAATCTGAATAGTATTTTTGTGAATGACCAATAACATTCCAACAAATCGATAAAATCCATAGTCATAGTCACATTCATAGTTACACATTTCAAATGAATATTCCATTTTCTGAATCCTCTATTGAAATTTAGATCAACATTTTATATGATTGAAATTGCCCCTGAAAAAATAATGTAATAAAAAATATGGTAACACCATATTGAAAATATTTTTTTTCAATACGAGGGCTGGGATATAACTACAATATAAACATCCATATTTCATAACATTGGGCCGAGAGTTAGGTTAGGTCCAAAGTGAGTGGGTCTATTCAACCCTCCACCGCAACCCGCAAGGGTTTATTGTGGTTCACACCTATTCTCACTCGATCAAATAAACCCAGAACAGACATTGAGTAGCACAAAAACCCTTTTTCTATTTTCAATTTGTACAGTGTATAATCCTACATCAAAAATAAGCAACGCAAATCTTTTAAAATAATATTTAATGCTACATAAAAAAAAAGTTAACAAGGCTAGGAGTTATCGAAAAGCATATAAGTAACTGAATGTAAAGATTATTTTAAGAACTCAATTTTTCATCAACCTCTTTGCTATCACCAGCATCCTCTTGCCCCTTTTCAGCATTGGGCACCCACAACCCTGAATCTACACATCTCTTCATATGATATTTGGCATCTTTTTCATTCATTTTGGAAATGGTGTCCTGAAGAAGTTGAATGTCTTGGGATTCAAAACATGCCTTGAGTTCATCTGGCAATGACTCAAATACTTCAACTGGATCTAAACCACCAGGACCCAGTCTTTTTTGTTTTTCTTCCTCTTCAACTTCCTGAAAAGTTTCAACTTGAGCAATTTCTTAAAAAAATGTTTTTCATAACCACAATATTTATTTTAGCTATGATCGTGATACAAATGAATTACTGATGTATTAGGAAACTTTCATATGACCTCAAAAACATCATTATTAATCAACAATATGGTTCTTACTAAAGTTCCTTAGAACACAAGTTCCAGGTTTGTTTGGGTGACAATGTTTCATGGCGAATTTTATCAGTTTGGACTTCCATTGTCTAATATGATTCTGTGATTCGAAATCTGAGAAAGAACAAATAAAATTAAAATGAAAGCTAAATTATCAATTATATTAAACAATAAAACGTGAAATCGAAATACAATAAAACGAATAAAATAATCAAGATATGAAATTAAAATGACCACAGAGTAAGGGAACTGAAAAATAAAAAGAATGAAAATAAGCAAAAAATTAAAAACAGTAAACTAAAAAAAAGATTTCAAAACAAGTTACTTCACGACGTTTTGATTGTTAGTATCCACAATTGTCTTCACCCTCCGAAGATAATTGTGAATACTAACAAACGTCGTGAAGTAACTTGGTTTCAAATCTTTTTTCAATTTACCATTTTTAACTACTTGCTTATTTTTATTCTCGTAATTCTTTGGATTCCTTTTTTTACTCTGTAGTCATTTTCATTTTGTATCTTGATTATTTTATTATATTTTCATTTCACGTTTTATTGTTTAATATAATTGATATTTAAGCTATTGATTATACTTTTATTTGTTCTTTCATAGCTTTCAAATCACTATTAGACAATTGTAGTTTGAACTAATAAAATTCAAATTCCATATTGATTCTATACACATAGATTTCTTGACATTTGACAGTCAGTGATAACTTACTTATCGCTAAGCCCAAAAATTGGGTATACAATAAGTCGTTTCATTTTGGATAGAAAGTTATCTTCACAAGAGAAATCGGTATGGCACGTATGGATCTAGTCAGAATGAAGTACAATAGGGAGTGCCTCAGGGATCTCAAACGAGTTTGTGTTGTTGAATTTATTTATAAATAATTTACTATTTTTACCCATTGTTCATTCCACATGTTTGTGAATTATTTAAAATATGTTGAATGCTGAGTAACTTCACTATGATCTAGACAACTTTTTTGAGTGGTA